GTGAACTGTGTTTTGTTTGCCGTGGACATTTACTCAGGTCTGTAAATAATAAAAGGGGGTTGGTTTTTTCTTGCGGTTCCAGCCTGCCTGTTGGAAGAGGGGTTTCTCCTTGTGAGCTTAACAAGGACTCACATAGGCTGGGACAGAACAGAAACCTTGCTTATGGTTGCATAAATATAATCAGTCTGAGATTTTCTCATGGAAAAATCCTGCAGAAAATCCAGAGCTCTTACCTGGGATGGGTGGAACACTACGCTGGTGACCTTCTTTGTGTGACCTTTCAGGGTGGCCAGGATCTGTTCTGAGCTCTTGTCAAAGACAACAACATTTTTATCAGCACCACCTGCGAACAAGACAAAACCAAGAAACCAGAGCAGCTCAGCAGCAGAATCTATTAATAGACAGCATTCTTCAGTGGTTGATTTAAAACATGTATTACTGGTGTAATATTGCAGTAACATTACTACTAGTGTTTCATGGAAATAGACTTCAGCAACACAAAAATGACTTGTAAGCTACTATCCTTTCAAATATAAACAGGGAGCAATAAACAGCACTCTGGGGGGAAAGGGAAGCAGAAAGTCTTAACATACCTGTTAGGATCTTGTTGGTGTCAGAAGGACACAGGTCAAGAGCAAGGATGCCAGGGATACTGGCACTGTGCAATCCCTGTTTTAAAACACAAAAGTATTGCAATTAGCATTCCAAGCCTTCTCATTTTATTCACTGACCAGCAAGAAACATAGAAGGAGATTTTTACAAAAGGTGTGTGTGGGGTGTGTGTTGGTGTGTGTTTAGTCCATACTTTTGTTTGCTGTTAGATGTGGGATTTTGGTAGTAAAGACCAAAATCTACTGTGTATACTAGAAATTCTGTATTTTTAAAAGGCCCAAGTGTATATAATCTCTCAGACAATCCAGAGCACAACAATATCTAAAATTGTAGAGAACTATCATTAATTTAAATGTGCTCCCATCAGACATCAATGAGGAAATTCACCAGCAGTATTAAAGAAATTTAGCAATTTTCTGGACTCTTAGGATAATCTTCTCAATCGATCCTGTATTTACCACGTGTGAAGCCACCTGCCGGTATCTATTAAGTTCTTCTGGTTTCACCAGCTCCTCTGGCACAGTCTTCCCTCTCTGTCAAAAGAAGAAAAGAGAACTCATCCACCAAGAACACAAACTATCTAGGACAAGCAATTGGATCTCTCTTAGCAGATCTTCTGCTAAGATAATTTCTATGCATATCCCAGGATCACCCGATTCCACAGCCAGGTTTACTAAAAAGAGGCACTTGCCTTTTTCCGCTCTGTGGTCAGCACTGTGGCTTTGTCTTGAAGCTGCAAGATAGAAAAACATTAGGAAAATTAGAAAAAACTATGCCATAATTGTGTACGAAGAGGCTGGAGATAATATTAGATATAGCAGCTTTAATATAAAATTGAGGGCACAGCGATATAGGATAGGCTAAAAGTGTGTGTTTCACGCATAAAACCACCCTTTGAGAATGAAATGAACCACTTCAAACGTTTTCAAAGTTCTGTAAAATCCCTGAAACAGGCAATTTCATGCTTGAAATTAGGTGTTTTGCAAAGTTGCATACTCAGACTGATTCAAAGGAAACCTTTTTGCACATTCCTACTACAGAAATGGCACAATCATTTCTATGTCTTTAACAGCTCAGGCCAATGTATCATGACTGTTTATCTGTAGTCCTGAGCCCAAAACATTTCTTACTTTCTGGATAATCTCTGGGGTCATTCCTGCCAACTCTCCTAGATCCATTGGTTCACCGGCACCCTGGAA